CAAAATTGGTCACCATTCATGCATGAAGATATCCTCTGTTCAGATTTTCCAGAAAGAATTATTTATTTTTGTTCAGTTGGGAAACAGAATATTAAAATTTTAGTGAGTTACCAAGAGTTCTACATCTAAAAGCATAGCATATGTAAGCTCCAAATTATAGAAGGTCTGATTCCAAAGAGTTTCCAAAATTATGTTTCTATTTGTTCATTACATTAAAGTAGAATGATTTTGAAATAGTAACCATTGTTCAAACATGCCTGTTACTCAACAAAACACCACACAATTGGATCATAGATGGAAAAACTTGCAATATAGTGTTTTGGTATTTTGAATAACTCTTGTCTTTCAAGGTGCATGCATTTAGAACATTGATTGTGATATGCTTTATGATTTTCAAGTACAATAGTCATTTCTAAAAATTAAAAGACTTGAAATTTTCTGGGATAAAGTTTTTTTTTTTTCTTTTTTTAAGCAGCAACTCCACAGAAATACAAAGGAAATCACTGGTTTTGCAGATAGAACTGAGAAAGATTTAGTAAGGGAGAAAAGAACCTTAACATCACTGTCATTTTAATTGGCTGAAGTTTTCTCTCCTCTGAAGGACTTTAATGACAGCGCTCTTCACCTCTCTGTTCCTGAGGCTGTAGATGAGGGGATTCAGCATGGGGATCACAATGGTGTAAAACACAGAGGCCACCTGATCCTTGCCCAGGGAGTAGGACTGCTTCGGCTTGAGGTAAGTAAAGATCATAGTGCAGTAAAATATGGAGACACCCAGCAGGTGGGAGGCACAGGTGGAGAACGCTTTTTGCTTTCCTGCAGTGGAGTGAATCTTCAGGATAGTGGAGAGCATGGACACATAAGATCCAGATATTGTGCTAAGAGACAGCATTAGGGTGGATCCAGCAACAATGAACAACATGACCTCAAAGCCATGGGTGTCACTGCAGGACAGGGCTAAAACTGCTGGAGTGTCACAGAAAAAGTGATGGACGACATTAGAATTGCACAAGTTTAGTCTGTGAAGGCAAAGCACATTGATAGAGGAGTCCATAAATCCAATCATATAGGACCCAGTGAGCAGGGCCCAGCACAGTCTCGGGGACATAATAACTGGATAGTGCAGAGGGTTGCAGATAGCTACATAGCGGTCGTAGGCCATGGAGGAGAGCAGAAAGCATTCG